CGCGTGCGGGTGCCGCAGCCCAGCCCGCCGCGCCGCCTACGGCTCCGTCCAGTACCCTAGCGCTTGGTGACGACCGTGAGCGACCGCGTCACTGGTTCACGGGTTCACCACGGTACACTCTGTATCGCTATTGCAGAGGGCCCTTTCTGCTGAGGAGGAAAAGTCTGCTGTAAAATGGCATGCCGTGCCTGGCAGGCAGCGCCCCCACGCACTTCGTGTTTACTGCCACGTCTCTCAATGGCATCACTTCCTCCTGTGCGTGATTTGTGTGCTTTTGAACCCTCACTCGAGGATCTTTCTCCCATTGCTCTTCTGAGAGTGGAAGGGGCGGGGGAGAGAAACATCGATGTGAGACACACACATCGACTGGCTGCCTCCCGCACGTGCCCTGCCTGGGGCCGGGGATCAAGCCTGCAACTGAGGTGTGTGCCCTTGACTAGAATCGAATCTGGGACCCTTCAGTTCGTGGGCCGACACTCTAACCACTGAGCCAAACTGGCCAGGGCTCTTGGGCTTGATTGAATCTCATGTTCTGCACAGTCACACGCTGTACGGGCCTGTAGCCTGGGAGCAACAGGCCAGGTGTGTAGGAGGCCGTACCATCCAGGTCTGTGTTAGTGTACTCTGAGGTTCGCGCAACGATGAACCCCAGAAGGACACGTTCCTCAGAATATATCCCCGCTGAAGCGGCTCACAGCTGCACTTTGTAGCTGCAGAGTAACATACAGAAACCTCTTTGGGTGTAAGAGCAAAGAAAAGCAGCGTTTCCACTGGGCACCTCAAAGACACCAAGTTTTGGCCTTTTTCACTTCCCTTTGTACCCAGATAAAAAGGGGAAATGATGACTTTAATAAAGTTTTTCAATGATCAAAACGTAAACACACTAAGAAAGATTTTAAAAGCCATTATTATAATGTATACTACATCTCAGAGGCAGAACACCTATGGGCTCGGTTGGTTTCCCTTGTTCTATGACATTATTTTTATTCCCTACTCACCCAGGTCTCTGCCAAATGGCTGCCTATCACATCTGCTCTTGGGTGGCCACGGCCCCTACTCAGTACCTATCCCATCGGAGGTCCTCCGTGGTGGGCTGCTGACTGTCCGACGTCCCCACTAGCAGCTCTGTGAAGCAAGGGCTTGGGCTGGCCCACGGCTTGTATGCCCAGCTCCCAGGAAGCACCCAGCATGGAAAAGGTTCTTGACCAAGTCTCACTAAATGAGTGCTTTCCAGACTGACTCTGGAAACAGCAACAGCGGCCCTTTCAAAGACTCTTGCTTCTTTCAGTAACTCCTCCTATCCCTGAGTATACTCACTTAAACCAAGGAACTACTTATAAGAGGCTTTGCATACATAGGTTTGGGGCCTGACAGTCCCACCCAAACACTGGGGAGACAGGTGATTTTACTTGAGGCTTAAACACTTTGGTTCAAGGACAAGAGGACCTGGCTGGAACGAAGCTCTAGCTCCCCCTCTGCAGTCCTCCCTGTGTGTCCACGCTGATGAGGGAAGTGGGTACTGGAGAAAGTAAGAGGAAAGAGAAAGTGGGCCAGACAAATCTAATGACCGGTTTCCTCCAGTGTCATCAGCTCTTCCAAAAACTGAAACATAAAGGTTTTTCTGTCCTAATGTTTAAAGACATGAAGGAAGGAAACATAAAGAAATATTAACATACTACAATCACACTGAAGATGTATATGGGTATTAACCACCATTATGATTTCCCAAGATGGAATGGTTTTTACAGAAGCGTCTTAAGCAAAAAGGTAAGTGCTTTGTCAGACTCTGGACAAGAAAGGAAAAAATATTAAAAGCCACTGGCCCGGGAAGACTACATGAGAAGTCTTTCCTTAACAGTTTTCTCCTTTCCATGTTCAGGTTGGGAGTCACTTCAGAAATGTCATTAACGATGGTAACACCCGAACCCTAAGACTTGAATAAGTTACGCTTACAAGAAGTCCTCCCACGATACATGAAATAATTTACAGGGCACAGACTGGTGTTTAGTACGTGGTCATACTACCTGTAGTTACAGCCAAGTTAAACTTACTTGCGTAGTGAGAAGAGACAGGAAGAGTGGCCGCAGCAGCGTCCAAGTGAGGCATGTCGCCAGCAGGACGGAGACCACTCACTTCAAACTGCATTGACATGTCCCCTGCATCTATATGAGGTACAAATGAGTGTCCCATGAGTCCTTAACAACAGCAGCAAGAGAAGGGAGTGCAGCGTGGAGGTAACTCATCATGGAGCGCTCAAGTCTCAGCCAAAGCAAACGGGCCAGCCCTTTCCCTACAGAATTAGTTCTAAGACGTTTTCAGCGTAACGGCTTGCTGATGTATTCGCCCCACAAACTGTTCTTACACTTCAAAAATTAGATTTGTTTCCAAACCTAGACTCATAACCCAACAGGAAAGTGATAGAAGAATTCACCTGGCTTGCTGACAATAATCTGAGCTCCATTTAAAGAGCAAGGCGTTAATAAAGTTATTAAAGTGAGTTGCAAAGAATCTGCAAATTTTACTAAGCTCTCTCATTTAACTGTTCAAAATATACTTTCGGACTTGGTAGTGAAGCTCACAAGGTGAAATGAGCCCGGCCGGGCGTGGCTCAGGGGTTGAGCATGGACCTAGGATCCAGGAGATCACAGTTCGATTCCCAGTCAGGGCACATACCCAGGTTGTGGGCTCCATACCCAGTCGGGGCCGTGCAGGAGGCAGCTGATCAAAGATACTCTCATCACTGATGTTTCTATCTCTCTCCCCCTCTCCCTTCCTCTCTCTGAAATCAGTAAAGACATATAAAAAAAAAAAAAAAAA